CTACGGTTGCTTCAGATATTTAAAAAATGGTAATAATGGTGTTGATGATAACAATATTAACAGCAACGATAACTAAAACAATGGTAACGGCAATAATGATAATAAGAATATAAATGATAATAAAATTGATGATCATGATAACAGCAGCTCAACATAATGATAATGGTAATGTTAATAACAATGATGATAAAAGTTACATTGCTGGCATTGATTATGATGCTAATGGTAATATTACTAATAGTGATAATGATAATAAAAATGATAACAATGATAATGATAAATATAAAAAACATTGATAACAGTAATGATAATAATTATGATGATAATAATAACAGTAATAAGGATAATAATGATTATGGTGAAAACAAATATGAAGACTATGAAATTTCCCTCTCCTCTTCTTCTCTGAACTCTCTCATCTCCTTCGCTCCCTTATTCACATATCTCCTCCCATTCCCTTTTTTTTTCTCTCTCTCTGAGCCCCCTCTCCCTTCTCCATCCATTTTCCTCTTAGACATCCTGTTCATTTTGCCTCTGTTTCCCCTTTCTCATCTCTCTACTTTTCCGCCTTTCCCATTTCCCTTTTCCCTTTCCCCTCTCTCTTCTCCCTTTCCCCTCCTTCCTCCCTTCTTAACCTGCCCCCTCGGATGCTTCCGGAAATTATAAATATGCATAAACTGATAGTGAAGCTACTTCAAAGCAGTGTGCAGTACTTGACTCGAACAGCAAAGTAATGATAATAATGATAATAATAAAGTATATGTATGTATATATGTATATGTATATACATATATGCATATATATGCATATAAATGTGTATGCACATATAATAAATTCTATGTAAAAATAAAGAAAAATCTACACACACATATATATACATATACATATACACATATACACACACACACACACACACACACACACACACATATATATATATATATATATATATACATATTTAATGTATATATATATAGGATATGTATATATATGAATATATATATAAACATAAACACACACACACACACACACACACACACACACACATATATATATATATATATATATATATATATGTATGTATATATATACATATATAGATAGAAAAATATGTGTATATATATAATATATATATATATATATATATATATATATCATTATGTCTATATGTATGTATACACGTATATATCAGTGATATAGGTATATATTTTTTATGTATCTAATTATCTCTCTTCATGTATGTATGTATGTATGTTTATATCAAGGTATATATAAACATAAACATGTATACATATATATTCATATGTATCTTTTTTATGCATGTATCTCTGTATCTCTTTATTTATATATCTATGTATGTATATGTATATACATAAATGTACATATATGCATATAAACAAATTTCCTGTTCGTAGTGTGGTTATTTCCATTTTCAAATATATATGTATATATATACATATACATATACATACAATATAAGTGTATGCACACACACACACACACACACATATATATACATATATATGAATCACGACTCAATATTTGCAAACATTTTCACTCACACTTTTGAGAATAAAACACATTTTACATTTCCATTTCTTAGCATCTTGACCGACATGATCTATGTTGAACAAGACCTGCCAACCGGGGGGCAGGTCTGTCAGCCATACCTAGGACAACATCTGTGATATGGATTTGCGTGACAGTCGACTTTTATCAGGGCGCAGGGATGGAGTGTCGTCGTCTGCACACAGCACCAGGGATGGTCGGGGCAGCAGCTCTGGTCTGGGAGGGGCGTGGCAGCTGGAAGGAGGAAAAGGATTGAAAGTGAACGGGGCACGTTGTTGAATTGTTTTAGTGGACGGGAGTGTTATAAAATTAATGGTTATTATTATTATTATTGTTGTATATTATTAAAAGGTTAATCTGAATTTACAGGAGTGGAATCACACACGCAGAAAAATACAAAAGGACACACTGAATTAGTATGAGAAAATATAGTCGGAAATCAGGAGAGAAATACGAGTAAAGCAGGAAATAGAAGGGACAGGGCAGAACAAAGAGCAAAAGAAGAACAGAAGGGAAAACATAGAAGGGGAGCTTTGCAGAACAAGCAATCGAGGCAGATAGAGAGGAATAAGGAGATTATTTTACAGAAGCAGCAGGAAGAAAGAGGACAAGACAGGAGAAAAAAGTGCAAAAACTGCACAAGAAGGAGCAGGGAGAGACATAGAATAAAAACGAATAAAGCAGAAAAGATAAGGAAATGAAGCAGGGGATGCAACGAGCAGGGAACTTTGCAGAAGGAAACTGCAGTTATCACACAAGGCTCACCAGCAGGAGAGTAAATCGCCACAAGGAACAGGGCAGCCAGCAGGACTCCGGTGCACAGGGTGAGCCTCGACCTGTGGAATGACGATGTCTTTAGTGATGAACCATTCATCTTCATGGTCACTGTTTTTGTATATTTATGCGTATGTTGTAAGAAAATGGTTGATAACGGTAAATTATAACGCAAATTAAATTTTAAGACAGATGGCTATACGACTTAAATGTAAACAATAATGATAAGAAATAGCAAAACTTGGAGGTGTTTTTATTCTAGTTATTTATTACTGTCAACTCTGCACTGGTATAGTGAATAACTTGATTCTCTCCGAATGCGCAAGCATGTGTTTTCATTTTGTCCCTAAAAGTATCATGAACCACCTCGAGGGACCTAAAACCCCTCCCCCCGCCCCATACAGACTGAACAAATGTGTATCTACCAGACTCTACATGGCCACAACTACCACCTACCACATGTTGATACTCAAGTTCTCTGTGTTGTGAATTCTGTCGTGGTTGGGAAGCGTGTGAAGGGAATTCTGCTTGCGAGCCTTATATCCTCCAGGAGGAATGGGTTGACATCTAGCGATTTTGTAGTCAATAGCTTGATATATTTCTAGCTCTCGCATTTTGTTGCAGAGTGCTTGGTTGACCTTGGTGTGAATTCTAAGGGCAGGATAACAAGTCCGACTGAAGACACAAATATGTGGTAAAAGCGAGGAAAAGATAACAGAGAGAGAATGAATATATCTTCATATATGTGTATGTGTATATGAATATATACATATACATATATATGTATATATCACACGCACATATGTATACACGCGCGCACATGTTCACATACATATATACATATATATATACATATATATATATATATATATATATATATATATATATATATATATATATACACACATAAAGAGAGAGAGACTGAGAGAATAGCAAGAAAACAGCAAAGAAAGAAGGCTGTAATATTACTTATGAATTATTAACACATTTTAAACACATAGCATGAAACAAATTAAAGAACAGTAACATACTATACTAGACGGCAAAAAAAACAACAGTAAAAGAAAACAGTAGAGATAGAAATAGATGATATTTTTGCGGTTATGAATATGATCGTCAACTACAATACCATTGAGATAATCATTATCCATATTTCATCATTGTTGTAGTTTACGCTGTACTAATGGGCGTTATTACCAATGTTGTGGTGGTTGTTATTTGATTAACATTGCTAGTGAAAATGATAGATGTCATCACGATTATTATTATCACTTTAATTGCGCAAATTATGGGCATTCAACTAAGACTCAGTCTAAGGTATTAATAATTCAATATCACTGCTAACTATATATAATATATATATATATATATATGATAAAATAATGATAATAAAAATTATGATGATAATCATGATGATAATGGTGATGGTAAAGCAACAACAGTGATAATAATATCAACAACAACAAAGGTAAAAAAATAATAGTGATTATAAAAATGATATGATAAATAATCGATATTGAGATGATAACATTTATAATTAAAGTAATAATAATGACAATGGTAACAATGATAATATCTTAAAATGACGATAATGGCAATAGTAGAACAATTATAATAAATATAGAAATGAAAATGATACTGGCTATGATAGGAATAATAGCGATAATGACCATAATAATAATTAACAAAGAAAGCAACAATTATGGAAATAAGATAATGATGACAATAACAAAAATGATAACAGTGATAATAATAATGACGGGGAAGAGGATGATGATAATGATGATGATATCAGGAATAGTAATAATGATGATAATAACTAGAAACTCAGAGCGCACATACCTCCGCCAAGGCAATAGGGTCGCTGATGCAATAAAAATATTCACCCTTGAAGAATGACATTAAAATCATCCCTTTCTCAAGTACACTGGTGACGTCCGTGGTTCCGTATCTCGTAATGCTAATGAATCATTAAAAAAAAAAAAAAAAAAAAAAAAAAAAAATCCTGGATCCAGATCTTGATTCGGATCATTGCTAAAATATAATGGCATCTCAGTTGGGCCAAGAAACATATCTGTTATTTAAAATAATAATAATAATAAAATAAAAATCAGTTTTTAACTTTTCGAGTTAATCTGTTTACCATCCTGGATCCGGATCCTAATCCTGATCACCACCAAATCTAATGACATCTAATTTAGGCTCTCTCTTCTTCCCCTTCCTTTTCCCTTCCCCCCTCCTCCATTCTAACCACCCCCCCCCTATGGATAGTTCCGTAAATGATAAATGTGCATAAACTGACTGTGAAATTACTTCAAGGCAGTGTGCAGGACTTCCCTCAAAGGGGAAAGTAATGATAATGATAAAGATGACAATGATGAGTATATAATATATATATATATATATATATATATATATAATATATATATATATATATATAAATATATATATATATATGTATGTATATACATATAAGCATATATACATATATGCATATATATATACATACATATAAGCATACACACACACACACACACACACACACACACACCACACACACACACACATATATATATATATATATATAATATATATAATATATATATATATATGTATAAAGAAAAAAATATATAGATACATAATGACGCACTCACATGCACAAACACATCACACACACACACATATATATAATGTATGTATGTATATATATGTATATATATATGTATATATGTATATATATGTATATATATGTATATATGTATATATATACATATATATATATATATATATATATATATATATATATATATATATATATATATATATATATATATGACGGGTATGTTTATACATGAATATGTATTTATAAACGTAAACATATATATTATATATATATATATATATATATATATATATATTATATATATATATATATATGCACATATATATGAAAATATATATACACAGATAGATTGACATGTACATATATAATATATATACATACCTATCTATCTATCTATCTATCTATATACATATGTATGTATTATATATCAATGCATATATAGGCATATATTTAAATGATTATACAATTATTGGAATGGAAAAACACTCTACTGTGTTGATACTATGGTAGAAAAACCCATAATGCACAAACTATATATATATATATATATATATATATATATATATATATATATATATATATGTATATATATCATGTATCTAATTATCTCTTTATTTCTATATGTATGTATTTATATGTTTGTATGAATGTATATATATATATGTATATATATGCATATATATATATTCATATTTATCTTTTATGTATCTCTGTATCTCTCTATCTCTTTATCTTTACATGTATATATTTATATATGTATACATAAATGTATATATATATATATATATATATATATATATATATATATATATATATGAAAATAGACAATTCTATGAACATAAGCACAGAGACCGCAATGAGTACGCAAAGATGAAAATGAAAACATCCAAAGTAAGAAAAGCAAATAAAAGTGTTTTTTCCTGTTCGTACCGTGGCTGTTTTTCTATTCATACACTCACACACACACACATACCTATATATGTATATATATTTATATGTATTTATATATTTATTTATATGTATATCTCTGTCTCTCTATTCATATATACATATATATATACATATATATCATATATACACATATACATATATATATACAACACATTATTATATCCATATCTATATACATATTTATCTATATATATACCCACACATTATATATCTATATATACATATCAGTATGTATTCATATATACATACGTATGTATATGTGAATGTTTATGTATTCATATATATACATTTATATATTTATAATATCTATATATCTGTATCTATCTATCTATCTATCTATATCTATCTATCTATCTATCTATCTATCTATCTATCTATCTATCTATCTATCTATCTATATATATATATATATATGTACATGTATGTTTGTAATTACACACATACATACACAGAAATATATATATTCATATATATATGTATGTATATATATATATAATATATATATATATATATATATATATATATATATATATATATATATATATATATTTATGAATTATAACTCAATATTTGCAAACATTTTCACACACTTTTGAGAATAAAACACATTTTACATTTCCATTTCTTTGCGTCTTGACCGACATGATCTATGTTGAACAAGACCTGCCAACCGGGGGCAGATCTGTCAGCCATACCTAGGACAACATTTGTGATATGGATTTGCGTGACAGTCGACTTTTATCAGGGCGCAGGGATGGAGTGTCGTCGTCTGCACACAGCACCAGGGATGGTCGGGGCAGCAGCTCTGGTCTGGGAGGGGCGTGGCAGCTGGAAGGAGGAAAAGGAATGAGTGAACGGGGGACGTTGTTGAACTGTTTTAGTGGACGGTTATTATTATTATTATTATTATTATTATTATTATTATTATTATTATTATTGTATATTATTAAAAGGTTAATTGAATTCAGGAGTGGAATCACACACGCAGAAAGATACAAAATGACACTGAATTAGTATGAGAAAACAATATAGTTGAAAATCAGGAGAGAAATACGAGTAAAGCAGGAAATAGAAGGGACAGGGCAGAACAAAGAGCAAAGGAAAGAAAAAAAGGGGAAACACAGAAGGGGAGCTTTTGCAGAACAAGCAATCGAGGCAGATAGAGAGGAATAAGGCAGATTATTTTATAGAAGCAGCAGGAGAGAAAGAGAGACAAGACAGGAGAAAAAAGTGCGAAAACTGCACAAGAAGGAGTAGGGAGAGACAGAATAAAAACGAATAAGGAAGAAAAGATAAGGAAATGAAGCAGGGGATGCAACGAGAAGGCAATTTTGCAGAAGGAAACTGCAGTTATCACACAAGGCTCACCAGCAGGAGAGTAAATCGCCACAAGGAACAGGGCAGCCAGCAGGACTCCGGTGCACAGGGTGAGCCTCGACCTGTGGAATGACGATGTCTTTAGTGATGAACCATTCATCTTCATGGTCACTGTTTTTTGTATATTTATGTGTATGATTTTGTATATTTTATGTGTATGTTGTAGTAAAATGTTTGATAACGTCGGAGGGCCAAAACTTCGGGTAAAGTGCAACACCTCTGTGACCTTCAATTTGAAAGAATTATTTATCTTCTTTATACACATATATATAGACATGTATATGTATATATGTTTATATATACTTCACACACACACACAAAGTTTTAATGTAGTATGAAACAGCAATGAAAAGATAATATACTCTGCAGTATATTTGCCTGTCTTAGTTGAACATCTTTATTAATCGATTCACAATACATTTTCTTATGATCTTGAAATATCCCCAAATGCAATCGGACATTAATGTAAAAAATGTGAAATGTATTAAGACAAATAAGTGAATAGACTAATTCATAAATGATTTTAAATAACTTTGTAAATGACTTGGCAACTGAAATCCCAGGGCAGATGACTTATGCGGCTTAACGCAGGAAAGATAAACT